ACTACAGAGCCTAAAGGGAGATCAGCTAAATTTTAATTGGAACACAACCAAAATCCCTCGTACCCCTCCCTCCCTCCCTCCCCGGGCCATAAATAATGACCAGTCCCTCAGTAGAAGTAACACGTTGATATTGACTTAGGGAGTAAATAGATAAGCACAATTATTTTTCTTTTTCCACATCGCAGGAAATCGACGGACGAGCTTTAACGTTACTATCCTTGGACGAGATCCACAAGTGTCTTGGAGTTACTCTTGGACCCGCCATCAAGCTTCACTTTACTGTACAGAAACTGAACAAGAAACCTCGATGACACAAGCTGTTACATCTCTTCCCAACTGCGCATGCTTTGATTTGGGCTTTTAGTCCTGCGCATGCCGGACGGTGCCCGAGGGTCCCTTTATCGTGTGTATTTTATGAAGCTCGATTTATCCGAATCTACGCGTTTCAACTGCAAATCGTCTTTTTAACCGGTTGTTCCTTCAAGCTTTTTAGTCTTCAAACTCATCGATAACTTTCTTATCGCTTTCTAGCCGGGTTTGAAGTAAGAGTTGCTTATTTGCCTCTGCATTGCGTCCCTTAGTTCAGGAACTGTTTCTTATTGGGAAAATTCTTCACTACAAAGAAATCTGATCTGGTACAGTGAATTCTGGGAACGTTCTTTGAACCCGCCATTAACTTCCTAAATTTTGAAGACAGCGGTCTTCATTATTAAGTCTACAAATCTCTTACTCTTGGTTACTGTTTACGAAGACCTGTTTTACCAGCGCTAATTTTTTAGAAGTGTGGTAATTATGGGATTAAATATTGGAGTGTGAAATCACCACAAGTCGTCTGACTGCATCTGTCAACTGACTGGACGTTAGCTCAGAGCCCAGAGTCATGTCGATTTTATGTCAGCGGTGTACTTACCAGTCAACAAGCTAATGGATATATCTCGTACCCGTTTTTTGATTTCAAGATTTCGAAGTGTCTTGCTTTTAGATGTCAGTCAAGATCATGCGAAGAGACGAAGCTTAACGAAAGTAGTAGTACTGTGAGGGGGGGGGATGGGGAGCTAGGGATCTTTGAAGATTAAAATTGCGCGAAGAAAACTGATACACAGCAAACGTGCTAACCCCTCAACTGAACTTCCAAACCATCACCCCTCCTAAAAAATAAGTTAAAAAATGGAGGAAATGAAAAAGAGCTTGCATCAAAAAAAGTTCCTATTTAGTGAATTTTAAACATAACATTTTGACTTGAGGACTCCCTAGCCTCTCCACCCCCCCCCCTCCCTTTATATTCTTGCATGGTCCGTTTCTCAAACAGTGGTAATGCGGGTTAGAGTGTATGTAAGTGTCATGCACAGTATTATGATATCATCGAAACCTTTCGCCTGTTCTTGTATCTTTAATTTGATCTTCAGTTAAACAAATTTTTTCTTTGTGGCCTAAGTAATATCCTTTTTGTTGTTTTGTTTTGGTTTAGTTTTGTTTTTATCGAAGCCTCCGTGCATTTCAGCAGTCCTCATTCTAAATGTTGCAGCCATGAGTAAGTTGTAATTTCCTAATCGTTATTTTTACACATTCTTCGCCTCTTCTATGTCTTGCGCAAAAGGTTTCCATGATACCTATCCTAATCAAAACATCCTCAACGACAGAAAGCTTCCAGTTTTCTCCAATTCTTAAGACAAATGCATACATACCAATCAATAAACAAATTTTTTTAGTTAAATTTTGTTGATCATCATTCCTTTGTCTTTTAAAACTAGCTGTAAAGTATACAGTCTCAGATTCGATTTTCTAATTCACTTCTTCAGGATCACCCAGTTTTTCCCCCCTAAAAACCCAATGACCTCAACGTGTGACTAAAATGTAATTTCTCCTTACAATGTCACCCCTGAATCAACCATTAAAGTCGCGAGAATAAAGAAATTGATCGTCAACTGTAGAAGCTCTTGATTGTTGAATAAATTCTCCTTAGCACCCTAGGAAATGTATAGAGAACAATATGGAGAATGTGCATTCTGATGTTAAGGTGTAAAAGCTTTAAGTTTGTCCATGTTACCCTAGCCTTTTAATTTCCCTTCGTTGCATCTCTATACCAGTTTCCTCCCTATTGAAGAATTTTGCGCCGCTTTATTTCCATTTATTCCTCGAAAGATGCTAGAAATAATGATCTTCAGCACTTTGTAATTTAAAATTCTTAGATTTACAGAAAAGATTCTTATGTCTATATATACTTTGAACGAAACCACAGCCAAGCTGAACAGATTGATCACGAGTCTTTGCTAATTTAATGGCCTAACTTCTCTTCCATTTGAACGAAGGACTCTCAAACCGGTCCCCGACAATATAGAACTTCGTGACGATTGAATTCCCAACACGTGAAGTCACGCGGCGGGAGCGGTAAAATCACGCGATCTCAAAGAGCTTTGTTTTTTCGACACCGGACATCTTTTTTTAACATTCTTGTGAGTGCTATGTTTAGAGACTTGGTTAGGTGACTAAAATCGCTGGTTGTTTTCACGAGTAACAATATTTGTGGTATTTTAAGGAGAACAGGCGCGTAGATGGTACAATGAAAATAACACGACAGGAGATGCAAACAGTAATTTCCCATGGCTGAATAAACTCTATCTCCAAGCTGGAAACGAACGAAACACTTCATAATGGAGGTCACTGTGTCATGGTATTTGATGAGAAAGGAAAGTTTGTACGAAAAATTGGTTGTCAAGGTGACAAGGAAGGACAATTCCAGAATCCGGCTGACGTCACATTTCAAAATGACGTCGAGATTCTGGTGGCAGATGAAGGTAATCACTGAATACAGCAGTTGAATGTACAGACAGGGAACTTTGTGAAAAGTTTTGGAAACAAGAAAGTGGAGACGGAGAGTTAAAGAATCCCAAAAGTATTTGTATTACTAGCGATGGACGTTTTATTGTTGTAGTGGAGTACGGTAACAGCAGAATTCAGGTGTTTACAGTGGATGTGGAACCTTTGCTAAAGCTTGGAGACAGTGGCTCAGAAAGAGTGGATCTTCCAATTGGCTGCGTTTGTTGCGAGGATAAGTTCATTATAACTGACTGGAATAACAGGTTTGTGAAAGTGTTTGATAGCAAAGGACAGTTTTTGTACAAGTTTGGACAGTTTCAGCTGCCGTGCCGGGCTTATGTATTGACAAATGAATAAAGCTGATAGTTTCTAAAGAAACTATTTGGGGCTGCGTCGGTGGGGGTAACGAAATAATTTGAATGTATCAACAAAGTTGAAATGGTAAATTGGCCACCGTTACGGTTATAAATGCTGACGTTTCGAGCGTTAGCCCTTCGTCGGAGCGAATATAGGAATTGTGCTGTTAAAGGTAGAAAGTGGAGCTACGTGATTGGTGGGAACATGGCAACGAGAAAAACACGAATAAATTAGTGGAATGAAAAGCGTTCGTTGATACCTGAGGGATTTAGACTGCCGGTTTGAAAGATGAGCTTTTGTTCAGGAGTTTTGCGGCTTTCCGTGCTACTAAGTGTAAGGAAAGATCGCAGATTGCCATATGTTGCTTAGAATGACTGGGTAAATAAAAATGTTAGGTGACTGGTTTCGATGTGTCCTTGTCATTCCTCTCCACGTCTCGAAGGTGTTCTCGGAATCGGTCACCTAGTCTTCTTCCTGTTTCGCCGATGTAAATCTTTTTGCAAAAAGTGCAAGTTATGCAATAGATTACATTGGCGGAGGTGCACGTGAAATGATCGGTGATCTTAAAGGATCGTTTGGGTCCCGATATTTTCTCAGTGTTGTGAATGAAAGGACACGTTTTGCATCGTGCATGAGCACATTTAAAAGTGCCTGGTTGGTCGTTAGTCTGAAAAGAACTTTTGACCAAAAACTTGCCTATGTTTTTGTCGCGTTTGAATGAAATGAGCGGAGGCTGCGAAAAGATAGTGCTTGTCTCTGGATCATTTTGAAGTAATTTAACTGAGTGGTTGTGAAGGTGAAACGTGAGCCAGTGAATGGAATGCGGTCGGAATCTTCCTTTTGTGACGTTTGTAGTGCTGAATGTCGATCAATGAGTTGGGTGCGGTGGTAACCGCTCCGACGAAGGGCTAACGCTCGAAACGTCAGCTTTTATAACCGTAACGGTGGCCAATTTACCATTTCAACTTTGTTGATACATTCAAATTATTAGGTATTGACAAGTATGGCAACCATCTTGTATGTGACGCAGGATACGGAAGCATTCATGTACAGTTTACACTGGAGGGGACTTGTACTAGCAAGACAAGTACTAATCTACGAACTTAATTCCCCTTTGGTGTAACCACAATGCCTGATGATCGGATTGCGGTCACTTGCTTTCAAGCAAAAGAAGTGTGCATTGTGACGTAGATGTACAAATAGGTGGTTTGCAACCAATCTCTAGAGACACAGGTAACAATGGTGAAAGGGACAAATGCTGGTGGACGAACAAAAGAAGCTAATGAGATATCTATTGTTTACGTCCACCAACATGGCGACGATGACGTATCGTGCAAACCTCCATAACCCTTTCTGGTTCTGTCCTGGTGTACCGGTACACAAGGGAATCACCATTGTTCTTGCTTTGTTTAAGAGTCACTGGTTAGCTGTTCTGTATTGTTTGGTCTTTTGTATTGGCTCTTGTGAACCGGTACACGAGGACAGAACCCACTTTCTTTACAATTTTTTTACGAGAATACGTATAGACTTGGTGATTCAAGAAATTCTGTGAACATTTTCGTGGATTTTTTTTTCTAAGGTCTAGAGTTAGGACTTGCAATTTTTCCACATTGCGTGGACTCGTCTAGCTTCCTTATCCTTTCACAGTTTGGCTTCTCCGTGCACGATATTTAAGAAAAGAATTAGTATGTGTAATCAAATGGCGAAGTGAAATTATTTCCTAGTTTCACGAGGAAACCATTTGATTACCTTTTAATATCGTAGGTGACAAATTGCGTTCACACCCGTAATTGTTTTTACTGGTTTATTCTATCGAAAACCGAGAACATGAAGAAGAAGATAGTTTTCGTTTAAAGCATACATTATTGTTAAAGTTCGTAATTTTCAGAGTTTCTTTACAAAAAATACCTTTCGAATTCTTCGTGCCTGTTAATAATTTTCGGCCGCTTATTTTAATTTCGTAACTTCTTAAAGGGTCGCCGTCTTAAATCTCGACTTCATCTCAACAAAAGATGTTACCATGGCAGTTTTGTAATTTCACTTGTGAAATTAAAAATTAAAGCTGAAATTTCGCGCCAAAATTAAGGAGTAATTTGTCACCTATGATATCAAAGCTCTAACTACCTCTTCATCCGAATAAATCACTGTAGGTTGTTGTAATCGTCAGCTATATGTTGGCGCCTTTTCGGGAACCTTTCTTACATGTTAGTCCTTTTAAAAACTAAGGAAATGTTGAGGATTTAATAATAATAATAATAATAATAATAATAATAATAATAGGTTTTATTTAGAGAGGGTGAAAACACTTAACAGTAGCCCTAAGACACTGATGCCGGACTGTGGCCCTCAAAAAATGCAACTTTAACGCAAAGTTTAAACTGGCTGTATTTTTATGGACCGCGATCTGGCCAATAGATCTCACTAAGAAAGGATGTTTCGCTAAAACATTAGCTGTTATGAAAAAGCTGAAGATGTTTCTTTTACGATTGCAACAAAGAACTTTTCTTAAACTCATTACGCAATTGAGATTAACTATTGTATTCTTTGTTTTCGATGATTGTAAGTAATTTACCCGAATCGACTTATTTACTAAATTATTTTTCGCAGACCTGTTAAAATTTTAATAACAGGTGATCATGCAGTTGAAATCATTTTTTACCTGGAATTTTGGTTAACTATACTGATTCAATTCTCTCAGGGATTTAGTTCATTACGTTGTGATATTTGCTAAACACATGCGTGCATCTGCAGGGAATGTATTATAAAGTATAGGATAGTGGGAAGTCGAGAAAAAAGGACCGTGCTGGCCTGAAGTTTTCACAAATTTGGAAAAAGCCAATTAGCTTTACTCTCAGCTCGATAGGTCTTTGTAAGTACATTTTTTTGAGTTGCATCAACTGACAAGGCAAGGGAAATGAAACAAAGCCGCCAACAAATCGGTTTGTTTTACGCTAGATGGCGTGCTGGAGTTTAGTTAAGGCACTGATGGCGACATGAAGTAGCTCTTCGCTGAAAAAAACAAATAACAATTTATAACCACTAATTTTCGTCATTTTTACCGAAAATGTTTTTAGGATTTATCGGTGTATAATTGCAGTAAAGCATTTTGAAAAGTCGACAGAATACTATTTGCACCTGGTTGAACTTATTGCTAATGTTGAATAGGTTTATTGTTTTACCTTACAGCTGTTTTCACGTCCTCTTATTATTGGCATAGTTTGTTATACTTTTAGTTTTAAATCAAACGATTACTGAACTGATTGCTCGTATTGTGAAAGAATACAACTGAAATTTTTAAAGGCTGATAGTTTCGAAAGAAACTGTTTGGGGCTGCGTCGGTGGGAGTAACGAAATAATTTGGATATATCAACAAAGTTGAAATGGTAAATTGGCCACCGTAATGATTACAAAAGCTGACGTTTCGAGCGTTAGCCCTTCGTCGGAGCGAATAGAGGAATTGTGGGTTGTGTGTGCTTTTAAAGGCAGAAAATGGAGCTACGTTATTGGTGGGAGCATGGCAACGAGAAAATCATGAATAAATGAGTGGAATGAAAAGTGTTCGTTGATCCCTGTGGGATTTAGATTGCCGATTTGAAATTTTGTCAACTGAAATTTTGTCAACTGAAATTTTGTATGTTCATCATTGCTTAATTTCGATCTTAATAAACTCGCTTTTTAATTTACTAAGAACTTGCAACAGCAGTCATTGAATTTGGCTCTATGAGGCTATACTCACCGTGCGAGATTTGCTCGAACATTTTTTTCACTTGCACCCTTTACTTTCCCTCGTTTGTCTCTTCATGTGTTTTTTCATCTCTCAAAAATTGCAGAATGTATTTATTATTTGTATTTTCTGAGGCTTCGAACAATAAGATTTTGAGCTCATTATATAGACTTAAAACGTTTTTAAAAATCGAGTTTCCAGATGGGATTTGAACCCACGACCCTCCGTGATCTAGTCGGATGCTTTAACCACTGAGCTACGGGACACTCTATGGTGAGTAAGAGTCAATAAGTGTGTATTGACTGGAACCGCATCACGCGGCTACACAGCTAAACATCAGCTAGCGCACAGAAGCATATTTTTAATGGAAACAGGTGAAAACGACCCTTGCGACAGAAACGATGCGACATATCCCATGATGCACCGGATTGATTACAGCACGTAATTGAAAATAGTTAAAAGCTCAAGCTTACTTGTAGTAATACTCCGCGACCTTCGTCTTTCATCTCTTAAAGGAGTGTATGGAAAATTCCAAGACGTTCTCTCCTCTGGAATATGGGCCGAACCCAAAACCGATGCTTTCTACGATGTTCTCTCTCTCTCCTTCTTCGCAAAACATTTCGGAGAAGCAAAAAACGCCAAAAATCTTCTTCTTCGATCGACTGCCGCCATTTTATTTTGGTTTTGGCGGTAAAAAGTGACTGGTCCCAGTCTTTCCACTATTTGATCCAATATATGCCAAGGGAACCAGGAAGGACAATTCCAGAATCCGGCTGATGTCATATTCGTAAACGATGATGGGATTCTTGTAGCAGAAGAATGTAATCACCGAATACAGCAGTTGAATGTACAGACAGGGAACTTTGTGAAAAGATTTGGAAAACAGGGAAGTGGAGACAGACAGTTAAAGAATCCCGCAAGTGTTTGTATTAAAAGCGATGGAGAGTTTATCGTTGTAGTGGAGTATGGCAACAGCAGAATTCAAGTGTTTACAATGGATGGTGAACCCGTGTTAAAGTTTGGAGACATCGGACCAGAGAGGCTGAATCATCCAATCGCCTGTGTTTGTTACGAGGACAAGTTCATTGTAACTGACTTGAAAAATAACTGTGTGAAAGTGTTCGATAGCAAAGGACAGTTTTCGCACAAGTTTGGGGAAAAAGGAAACGGTGATGGACAGTTGGAGATGCCGACAGGCCTATGTATTGACAATTATGGCAACCTTCTTTTATGTGACGTAGTACGCATTCAACAGTTTACACTGGAGGGAACTTTCACTGGAAAGACAAGTACTGTACCTTGGAGCGTTGCCACAATGCCAGATGATCGGATTTTAGTCACTGGATTTAACGAGAGAGGAGTAAAAACTCTGAGATAAATTTAGACTGAATAACGATTTCATTATCAACGTAACGTGGATATGTTCAGTTAGTTTAACGAAAATTCTCTTGAATCTGTCGATAAAAGTTCAGGAATTGAGACTTGCAAAATAAGCATTGCACTGACACCATTTCCTCGTACTATAGAATACATTTATTAATACATGTTTATTAATAATTTACCTAACTTGATTTACCAGGAGGTTTAATTGGCCTCTTAAAATTGTAAGAACAAGTATTCACGTGATCAAGATCATCTTTTCATATAGAATTTTGATTTTATATATATTCAGTTGGCCTGAAGTAGTTCTTTCAGATTAAGTGATATTCATGTGATAAATGCTAAATAGTTGTTCACTTCTGTAGAGTATGTATTACGAATATAGGATCATCCTCGGAGACCCAGGGGCTGTGAGTCGATTTCAAGTTAAGGGCAGAAGAGCCCCTGGGGACATTGTCTTACAAGACTAGTTCCAAACGGTCGCAGTCGTTCTGGCATCTGATTGGTGCCAGAAAATCTTTGTGTTTTTCTGCCCAATCAGAGTGAAGTGTCCTTTGGAGTCCTTTCGTGTGTTTTAACACGCACATAT